TCTTGTGAGTCGCTCTTTTGGCTTTGCTGCTCCCATCTTCACTGCCCTTTTCAGGCCGGCCGATCCTGGATGAGATCTTTCCCGGCCTCCGGGTCAGTTTGTACATCCCTGAGGAAGGTCCTCGGGATGTCATTCTAACGTCACGTTTGTCCTTATCGGCCACCATCCGTGGCGAAATCGCAGTAGACTTACGGCATTGAAGATCATGTGTTTTGGACCAGGGCACAGATCGGTGTGCAATGGTTGGCGCATGCGCGTCCTTACAATCATGTTAGCCTTGACTGCATGATCGCAGGCAGACCCTAGACACTACGGCCATCAGATTCGATCTCGAAAAGAGATGTTGGATGGCAGTTGGGAGACCATTGCATTCTATACGGAATAAGTGGAGAATAGATTTGAACAAGTTGGCAGCCGAGTGAGGTCACACGGCTGACGCTGCCAGAACAGGCCTCCGAATGCCACTCCTGATCGAGGGTGTGTCTGAGTTAGTCTCGGATTTGGTTGTTGGGTTTAGATAACCGTGAGTGGCCTAGAACCGATCTTCCGCTGGTACGCGCGAGAGGCGCAGTGTTCTGCCGGGCCCCCAGAGTGGGGTCACTTCAAGATGGTTCGTGTCCCTTTCCCCCAGAACCGGTGGCCATATGTCCTACAGGCGGGAGGCTGACATTCTTCTGAGGAGCCGGGCTCTCAGTAAAGCAAACGGTTTGACAGTCGGGCCAGTCATGAAGAAGGAAACACGATCGCTGGGACGAGAGCTTTATTAGCTTGACGTTTGTGATTCCTGCTCGAACCCACCATCAGAGACAACAGCAGGTACGGGTGATTCATGCACAAGGGGCAGCAGTATTTATAGGATGCAGTCGCCATGCTACCGCATACCTATGAGCATTTACGGCTCCTCCCTTCATCCGGGATGGTCGCACTTGGTGTGTTAATTATTTTATGGTCGACGTTCGCGTCGTTAATTGCTGCAATTTCATCACGTGCGTTGGGTGTTGGTGTGATGATTGCTTGGCCATCTGACGCGCCGACCCTGGTGTTGGGAAAAGTGCTCACCTGTGCGCTCTCAGAGTGGCTAATTACTTTGCCTAGGCGAAGTCTCAGCACCGAGTATGGAAGGGGAAGATTATTGCACTTGTTAACGGACTGGGGGCCAGTAAACCATGATTCAAGTAGCTCCCAACTCACGCGGTTGTCACCTCTAGCGAGAATTTCGGCCCCGTCGAATTTGAATGTGTGGCCGAATCTCGTCGAATGAGCCGCAACTTGGGAGCTGGCGTCATTTCTCCGCACCGCTGCAGCGTGTTCGGCCATTCTCGTTCGGAGCTGTCTTCCGGTTTCTCCGACGTAGTTGCTTTGTCCGCAACTGCACCAGTTGGACCAGTGTATCCGTGAGATGACGTGGATCGATCGTACAACTTGTGATCACCGGCTGATGGAACCGTCGGCTCGGTTTGATTCTGCGGCTTGTTCAGAGACGCAGGGTGGACAGTAGACAGGCGATGTGCTGGCTGCCCATTGGGCGATGTGTACCGTTATTTTTGACATGTTGTTGAAGGAGATCGTCCCCGCTTGCATGCTGAGCCAGACCAGTCCACCAGCGAGCGTGTTCATCGTCTGTGCCTAAGCGTGGAGTAGTGCAGATTTAGCCGAAGAATTGCTGCAGAAATACGCTAGATACCTGAAAGCAAGCCGCCAGCGCACATGCGGAGGTGCACCAGGCAAAGGAAATTGTGTGTCACAATGCTGATATGTCCATAGGAGTGCGTTCGCGCTACCGAATCGGGTCAGAGTTCCGACAACAGCCGTCCCAGTTGCCTGTTCATGGGCGAAGTTCAGTGATAGAGGAGGCCTGAGGAAAAGTTTCAAGGTCGGGACTTCACGGGGGTCGAGTTAAACTACTTCCGGCTTCTGCCTATTCTTAACCGAATCGAGA